CCAAGGTGATATTTTGTCTCGGGAGGAGAAAAGTGTTAAAAGGGAAGCATTAGCTAGTTTCTAGTCAATCTTCTTTCCTATGTACACAGAATAATTATAAAGTTAAAATTAGAAGATAATTGATCTATGGTAACTTCTTTGTTCAAGTGCTATTGTACTTAGAAGAAGTCAAGCTTGCAGACAAGGAAACCTGGGTCTGCAGAGATCTGAATACCTACATTTCTTGGTGTGTTATTTGCCGGGTACAGTGTTGTACAAAACAATCACGATTCCGGATCTCATGGAACTTACAGTCTAGACGTAAAAAGGCATAACATTTTCACACGACAGCTTATGAGGACTGTTTTTTCCACTTAGCCAGGTGCATTTTCACTCATCAGAGAGAGAGGAAAGAGAAAGAGAGAGAGAGAGAGAAAGAGAAAAAGCATCTCCTATGGGGCATGGTCATGCTGCAATTCCTTCTCCGCCCTCTCTCTCCTTTTGGGATTTTGGAAATACATGCACATGGACTTGGCATGTTTCTCAAGCTGCTAGGTCTGGAACTTGAACCATGCAGCTGGCCATAGGGGATCCAGCTGCCTTAACTACCACGCCACATGCTGGCCCATGTGTGTGGACTTTTAAAGAGGCACCACAAAGAAAATTCAGCAACTCAGAGGGAGAAAAATTGCCTCAAGAAGGTCTACAAAGCCAGCCTAAAGCTGGAAGTGTTCAGAGGAACTGTGGAAAGACAAGATAATAAAAGGAAAACCAAGGGCTACAATGTAAATATCAACTAGTTAAAACATTGACAGGAGGTGATCACACTGCTCTTCCTTGGGGATGCTGATGTCGCTAAACAATAGAGAATACCTGGCATTAAAAGCTCAGACTGGAATGAGCACCAGTAAGGTTGCCTTTATTCACTGGAGATCTGAGACAGGTGCGTATAAATTCTAGCAACCAATCACATTCATATTATGTGAAGAGACTTTCATAATACTTAAATTTAAAAAAAAATTATTTTATTTATTATTATTATTACTTAAAAATATTGCTGTAGGGCACATGCACTCACGAGAGAGAGAAAGTGAGAAAGCAAGTCACCAGATCTGGGACTTGAACTGTAGTCGACCATGTTAGAGTCCAGTGCCTCAAACACCGTGCCACTTGCTGGCTCTCTTGTAATACTTTTTTATTTTTAAATCCTTATTTGATTTATTTATTTATTTTGCATACTTTCATTGAGCATTACCACAGCATACCGAATGTGATTTTCCAGCCAGAATACACTGTAAAGTGACTTAATCATACATGTCATTGTCAATTACATTTTCCCCCTCTATTACTTTTTGTTTTTTTTTTTTGGAGAGGTTTTCGCTATAGGGCATGTGCGCTCGCCAGACAGACAGAGACATAGAGACAGAAAGCGAGAAATCACCCCCCCCAGGGGGGATGGTCACGCCACAATCCCTCATCCTTCATTCTCCTCTCAGGATCTTGGGCACGCATGCACACGCACCCGGCATGAGTTTTAAGCCACCGGGGCCGGGACGCGAACCACGGTTGACTACATGGGAGTCCAGCGATATAGCCATTACGCTAACTGCTGGTTCTCTTCCCCCCCTATTTCTCACCCTCTGCCATTTCCCATCCTCCTCCCACTCTGTCTCTGGTTTCTGCAGTTGCTTTCCATTCCTTTATTCTTTCCCACATTGTATTGATTCACAAAATATTTTAATTAATCTAAATACTTTCAATAGTAAGTCCAGCTGATATATACATATCTGTGAACAAAAGCCCCTCATAATAATTTGAAAATTTTACTTATTTCTCCTATCTAGGTGAAAATAATGTAATGTAAAATTAGCCATCTTAAAGTGAGCATTTCGGTGGCACTGAGTCCAGTCCAAATATGTACTCAGCATCTCTATTTAGTCCCATACTATTTTCATCAGTCCAGAAGGACACTTGCTATCTATTGTATTAAGTAGTTGTTTCCTCATCTCCCTCCCTCATGTATCTAGTAAATACAAATCTGTTCTGTTTCTGTGGATTTAATTATGCTGCATATTTAACATAAATAGAATCATACAATAGGTAGCCTTTCGTGCCTGGCTTCTTCCACATAAAACAATGCTTTCCAGGTTCATCTATGTTGTAAGCATATGTCAGCACTTCACTCCTTTTTATGACTGAGTAATGTTCTGTGATCTGTACATACCACATTTTGTTCATGTATTCGTTCACTGGTAAGACTATGTCCATCTTTTACTTATTGTGGACAGTGCTGCCATATGTGAATATATGTGTACTTGAATGCCTGTTTTAATCCTATGTAGTACACCTAGGAGTAGAATTGCTAAGTCCTATCTATGGTACTTCTATGTTTAATATTTTGAGGAACACCAAACTTTTTCTACAGTGGCTGAACTGCTTTACATACCCACCAATAACATATGAGGGTTCCAATTTCTCTACGTCTTTGCCAACGCTTGTTACTTTCTGTTTACTGTTATAATTGTTGCTGTTGCCAACCTAGTGGGTGTGAAGTGATACCTCTCAGTGGTTTTGATTTCTATTTCCCTAATGAGACTCTTATGTGTTAGTTAATCATTTGTGAATCTTGTTTGGAGAAATACTTATTAAAGTCGTTGGGCTATTTATTAATTGGGTTTTGTCATTGCTGTTGAGTTGTCATAACAATTTTTGAGCCAGGTAGTTCAGCTCTTTTACGTTGCAAATTCAACACAGTAGTTTCAAAGGTGGGCCAGTTGGTGAAATGTGGGCAGAGAGAAGAGAAAGCGGAGAGCACAGGAGAGGTAGAACTTGGAGTGTGGCTGAAAGGGTATAACATCAATATTTACTTTCCCCAATAACTCAGACGAGGAAGGAATAACTTTGGCATGGCACTTTGACAGATACGCATTCCTAGAATCTGTGGCTTCGACTTCATTTTCATTGCCAATGTCTAGCTCAGTAATGAGCTCTCACTTTTCAGTGCACTGCACACACATTATCTTGCTTTAGCTTCATAGTCATGCCCAGTTGGTGCTATGATTCTAACTTAACAGATTAGAATTGAAGCTTCAGGAGATTTAGTAACTGGTTGAAAATCACAACTCAAAGGAGGCTGAAGAAGTAGGGATTGATGACTTCTCTGTTACTCCACGGAGGACTCACACTTTTTTCATTGCTGAAGATCTCTAACCTTTCTCTTTACCTTCCTCAATCAGCCTTCCACACTGGACTTGGGGTTTTTTCTTAAATGTAAATCTTATCATGCCACATCTCTGCCTGCAGCCTTTTAATGACTTGTCATCCTTCAAAGTCCCCTGCCTTCCCTTTTAACCAATCATCTTTTTCTTCCCTCATTTGTGTCCTACTTTACAGTCATGTCAACCTACTCCCAGTTTCCGGAATCTGCCGAGCTGTTTCATAACCTTGTGCTCACCCCATAGAGTTTGCTCTGTCTGGATTGTATTAGACTCCCCTCCCCCCAGCACTGCATTATGAACTTTCTCCCGTGCCATACAGCACACAGATTTTAGCAAATGAGGTAGTCAGGGGAAAGAAAGAGAGGAAGCTGCCATTGTTTACTTACTTCATCTTGACTACCTGGAATAGTCAAGGGAATTAACTGAAAAACCAGTAAGACAGCCTAGTAGTCCTATACAAGCTTTGAAAAAATCACCGACAGGAACCCATTAGAAAATGTAATGGAAAAGGGATCTTATTAAATGAGCTTAATAAAAATATGTAAATCCATATTTTAAAACTTTCTAAAATGTTATGAAAGATAGAAAAAGAGCACCAGAATCCATGAAAATATTCTCCATCTTTCGTGGTTTATTGTGGCAGTTAGCAGCTTAAGGTTTGACTACCTGAATTTGAATGTCGAATCTACCAGTTCCTTCCTGTGTCATCTCAGGAAAGTTGCCTCACTCCTCTTAGACTTAACTTCCTTGTTTGTAAAGTGAGAGTAATGTTATTATTTAACTCATGCAGCAAGTAAGAGAATGAAATAAAATGATCTGTTTAGAACTCTCAGTTCTGTGCTGGGCTTAGTAAATTCTCGAGAAACTATCCATTATAATAAACATGCCAGTTCTCCTTAAAGTAATCGGTGCATTTAATGCAATCCCAGTTGAGTATCTGTTTCTCTGTGTGATCATAATTGGATTGGAAGTTTGTCTTGGGAGAGTATTGTTTTTATTTTGTTTGTTTCCTGTTTTTGGAGTCATTCGTGTTCTGAGATGTGAATGTCTCCCAACAGAGATGTTTTGGTTTTGGTTTTGCCTTTGCTTTTGCCTGTGTTTTGCTGTCCATGTCTCTCTTTCTCTTCTTCTTCTTTAAAATGTTATTATTTATTTATTTATTTATTTTTAGAGAGTGATTTTTGCTATAGGGCTCATGTACTTGCCTGAGGGACAGAAAGAGACAGAGAAATAGAAAGCAAGAAATCACCCCCTGGGGGAATGACCACACCACAATCCCTTCTCCTCCATTCTCTTCTTGAGATTTTGGCCACGCAGGCACACGTACCTGGTGTAAGTTCTTTTTTGAAAGTTTTTTGCTATAGGGTGCATGCACTTGCCAGAAAGACAGAGAGAGACAGAGAGCGAGAAATCACCCTCGAGGGAGGATGGCCACGCCACAATCCCTTGGCCTCCATTCTCCTCTCGGGATCTTGGGCACGCACGCACACATGCCCGGTGTGAGTCTAAGCCACTGGGTCAGGGACTCGAACCACACTTGACTACATGAGAGACCAGTGACATAGCTGTTACGCCATCTGCTTGTCCCAAAATTAACTGGTTTTTAACACCATAGATTACCTTGGCTGTTTTTTTGATTTTATATAAATATATATAAATGCAGTATGTATTTTTTGTTTGTTTCTTTATGACTTCTTCTCCCCTCTTATCCCCCTTTTTAGGCAGAGCCTTGCTATGTCATGATCCTCCTGCTTCAGTCTCCTGAGTAGCTGGGACTGCAGGCAGTGCCTGGCTTTTAGGGTAGACCAAGAATTGTACCTAGGACTTCCACGTAGCCTCAGCCTACTGAGTAGCGGAGTTAACTGGACCTGGCTTCTTTTCCCAAACATTATGTTTGTGAAATTCAATCAGGTTATGTAATAGTTGTACTATTATTTACATTGCTGTGTTTATACTTTCTATTATTGATGTAAAGTTTGGTTATTCTCAGTTTTGGGGTATTACAAATGTTGATACAGTCTTGTTTATGTCTTTTGATGCCCATGTATATTGCATTTCTTTTGAGTATATATCTGAAAATAGAACTGCTTATAAGATGTATGTATGTTAAATTTTAGTAGATAATGCCAAAGAGATTTCCCAAAGTGGTTGGACAGCCTTACACTCCTACCAGTTAACTTATGAATGTTCTAATTGCTCCACATTCCTGACAACATTTGATATTGTTTATTTTATTCATTTTAGCAATTCTATTAGGTAAGTAGTGTTATTTCATTGTGGTTTTACTTTGCATTTCCCTGTTGCCATTGAAGACTTTTTCAAATGCTTTTTGGCCATTTGAGCATCCTTTCTTGTGAAGTGTCTGTTCAAGTCTTTTGTCCATTAAAAAAAATTACGTTATCTATCTTTTTCTCTTTAAATCCTTTATATATTTTGGATATGACTTCTTTGCCTGACACATGTATTGCAGACATCTTCTCCCAGTTTGTGGTTAACCCTTCTATTCTCAGTATGGTATCTTTTGATGTACAGAAAGTCTAAATTTTAAGGAAGCAAAATTTATCAAGTGTTTTCTCTTATGGATGATAGTTATGTGTCAAGTTTTAAAAATCTTTTCTGCTGGGACCAGCAGTTGGCATAATGGCTATGTCACTGGACTCCCATGTAGTCGACTGCGGTTTGAGTCCTGGACCTGGTGGCTTAAACTCACACCGGGTGCACGTGCATGTGTGCCCAAGATCCCGAGAGGAGAATGGAGGAGAAGGGATTGCGGCGTGACCATCCCCCCTGGGGGGTGATTTCTCACTTTCTCTCTGTCTTTCTGGTGAGTGTACATGCCCTATAGCAAAAACCTCTTCAAAAAAAAGGAGAAAAAAAAACCCTTTTCTGCCTATCTTCAAGGTCATGAAGATATTCTCTTACGTGTTAATTTCTACAGGTGTTATTGTTTTATCTTACTCACTCAGATCCATAGTTTACCTGGAAATGACTTTTGGGTATGGTGGGAGTTTAGGAGTAGATGTTTTCTTTTTCTTTTTCTTTTTTTTTCTTCCCCATATAGATGTCCAGTTGACTCAGAACCGTTTATTGAAAAGACTGTTCTTCCCTCACTGCTGTGCAGTGCCACGTTGATCGTATGGCCATGAATCTGTTTCTGGGCTCTCTTTTCTGCTCCACTGGCCAATTTGCTATCCTTATGCTAATACCAACCTGTCTTAATGCTAACTCTTGATATCTGATAGACTAGAGTGAGTCTTACCTTTTTGTTCTTCAAGAGAATTTTGGCTAATTCTGGTCTTACTTTCTTCTATATAATTTAGGAATTTTCATATTAAAAAATTGCTGGGTTTTGAATTGTAATTGCACTGAATCTGTACAGGTCAATATCTTTACAATATTGAAGCTTCCACTCCTAGAACATGGTAATCTCTCCACGTATTTAGATCTTCTTCATATTCTTCCAGTAATGTAGTTCTCTGTGTAGAAGTTTTTATGCTAATTTCTTAGGGTAGGGTTCCTGCACACTTACCTGTAGTATAGGTTTGAACCTATGACTTCACAAAAGGGGACACACACACACACGTATATATATATATATAAAATCTTTAAGAATGGTCCTGGGTTATGGCACACTCATTCATGGCTACCCTGGGTTGGTAGATGTGTGAGCACTTTTTCACTGATGTCCTTTTGAAGCTCCCAGCTTCTTTTTTTTTGGAGAGGTTTTTGCTATAGGGCACGTGCGCTCGCCAGACAGACAGAGAGAGACAGAGAGACAGAAAGCAAAAAATCACCCCCTGGGGGGATGGCCACGCCACAATCCCTTCTCCTCCATTCTCCTCTTGGGATCTTGGGCACACATGCACCCGCGCCCGGCATGAGTTTAAGCCACCAGGTCTGGGACTTGAACCACGGTCGACTACGTGGGAGTCCAGCGACATAGCCATTATGCTAATTGCTGTTTGTCCATTAAAAAAAATTACGTTATCTATCTTTTTCTCTTTAAATCCTTTATATATTTTGGATATGACTTCTTTGCCTGACACATGTATTGCAGACATCTTCTCCCAGTTTGTGGTTAACCCTTCTATTCTCAGTATGGTATCTTTTGATGTACAGAAAGTCTAAATTTTAAGGAAGCAAAATTTATCAAGTGTTTTCTCTTATGGATGATAGTTATGTGTCAAGTTTTAAAAATCTTTTCTGCTGGGACCAGCAGTTGGCATAATGGCTATGTCACTGGACTCCCATGTAGTCGACTGCGGTTTGAGTCCTGGACCTGGTGGCTTAAACTCACACCGGGTGCACGTGCATGTGTGCCCAAGATCCCGAGAGGAGAATGGAGGAGAAGGGATTGTAGCGTGGGCATCCCCCCTCGGGAGTGATTTCTCGCTCTCTGTCTCTCTCTGTCTTTCTGGTGAGTGTACATGCCCTATAGCAAAAACCTCTTCAAAAAAAAGGAGAAAAAAAAACCCTTTTCTGCCTATCTTCAAGGTCATGAAGATATTCTCTTACGTGTTAATTTCTACAGGTGTTATTGTTTTATCTTACTCACTCAGATCCATAGTTTACCTGGAAATGACTTTTGGGTATGGTGGGAGTTTAGGAGTAGATGTTTTCTTTTTCTTTTTCTTTTTTTTTCTTCCCCATATAGATGTCCAGTTGACTCAGAACCGTTTATTGAAAAGACTGTTCTTCCCTCACTGCTGTGCAGTGCCACGTTGATCGTATGGCCATGAATCTGTTTCTGGGCTCTCTTTTCTGCTCCACTGGCCAATTTGCTATCCTTATGCTAATACCAACCTGTCTTAATGCTAACTCTTGATATCTGATAGACTAGAGTGAGTCTTACCTTTTTGTTCTTCAAGAGAATTTTGGCTAATTCTGGTCTTACTTTCTTCTATATAATTTAGGAATTTTCATATTAAAAAATTGCTGGGTTTTGAATTGTAATTGCACTGAATCTGTACAGGTCAATATCTTTACAATATTGAAGCTTCCACTCCTAGAACATGGTAATCTCTCCACGTATTTAGATCTTCTTCATATTCTTCCAGTAATGTAGTTCTCTGTGTAGAAGTTTTTATGCTAATTTCTTAGGGTAGGGTTCCTGCACACTTACCTGTAGTATAGGTTTGAACCTATGACTTCACAAAAGGGGACACACACACACACGTATATATATATATATAAAATCTTTAAGAATGGTCCTGGGTTATGGCACACTCATTCATGGCTACCCTGGGTTGGTAGATGTGTGACCACTTTTTCACTGATGTCCTTTTGAAGCTCCCAGCTTCTTTTTTTTTGGAGAGGTTTTTGCTATAGGGCACGTGCGCTCGCCAGACAGACAGAGAGAGACAGAGAGACAGAAAGCAAAAAATCACCCCCTGGGGGGATGGCCACGCCACAATCCCTTCTCCTCCATTCTCCTCTTGGGATCTTGGGCACACATGCACCCGCGCCCGGCATGAGTTTAAGCCACCAGGTCTGGGACTTGAACCACGGTCGACTACGTGGGAGTCCAGCGACATAGCCATTATGCTAATTGCTGGTCCCAAAGCTCCCAGCTTCTTGCAGAAGCTGTTCATAGTGCTTATTTCTATGAGGGAGGTCTTCGAAAAATTTGTGGAAAACAGAATTAAAATTTGAGTTCATTTAGGTACAAACAATTTTAAAACTTGTGTAGCTTTTTTTTATAATATGTGTTTTTAAAATAAACTTTTTGAGGACTTCTCATAGAATGAGATTAGAAGTAGAAGATAGATGGAGAAAGGAGCCTCTCATGGAGTGTCTCATAATATTCTGCATTGCTTGATTTATTATTTGGTCACAGGTAATACAATTTCAATTGCAAAATGTAACAGCCAATCAGTCCCCCTCCCCCAGCTCAGGCCCCCAAATCCTGACAGCCCTAGTGGTTCTCTCTTTGCCTGCTCATCAGTTGTGCTCTAGCCACTTGGCTGTCTTTGATTTGTCTTTCTTCTTAGAGAGAGCCACTCTCCTTCTCACCTGAGGGCCTTTGCAGTTCATATTCTCCCCCTCTGTGATGTTCTGCACCTTTCTGCCTACTTAGTTTTAACTCAGCCTTTGGTGCTCTTAATTTTACAGCACATTTTCAGAGCATCCTTTCCTGGATTTCAGACCAGATCATGTTCCCTGGTATATGCTCTTTTAATATCTTATGTTTCTCTTTTGCAACATTTATCACAATTCTAATTAAATAATTGATATTGAAAGTAGTTGTATAATTCTAGATGTGAGTTTTGTTTGATCAGGGACTATGGCTATCTCACTTGCTGATCAACCCCAGGGTCTTGCGAAGGACCTTGTATGCCAAAGACCTTCAATAAATATGTATTGAAGGATCAACGAGTAAGTGAATGATATTTTGGGGGAAATTTTGAGCATCGTTTCTGATTTCCCTAAGTAGGCCCATGGAATGTCAGAGATCTATGTTGAAATATATGAATTCCTTTCTTGGGTCCATCTAGGACTGCACAGGTTCGTGCAATGCAGGCAACGTTATCTTCATACTGAGTGGATTCTGAGAATGCTGTCTGTAAGATGTCTTCTCTAGAATTCCCACTGCCTGTTGTCTGTGAAGACCCTCTGCCTATGAACAAAAGAATGTAACGGACCTCTAAGGATTTCAGTAGGAAAAGGTAATTATTTTCTGAGCTGAACCCTGCCTCAGAGATGCTCCCTTTACCCCCAGGAGCCCTTTCCTTTATGCTTATTCCTAGGCTCCCACCATCCAACATCTTCAGCTTCAGATGGATGCTGGTTTCTTCCTGCCTCTCTGGAGTTTTGTCACTGAACAATTTCCTGTCCATTGATCCTCATGAGATTATGCTGAAATTTCATTCCCAGTGCCATCAGGAGTGAAAGTAACCAAATTGAACTCTAGAGAATGTGCTCTAATACATAAGAACACAGCTAAGTAATTGCTATGTTGATCAGAGGAGGAAATCGTTCACTGTAAAATGCTGTGGGACAACTCATTTCCGAGCAACATTATAATGGGAATTACCTAAACAGATTCTGGATTTTTAAAAAGGGTCTCATGTATTCATCAGAGTAAGGAAAACATTTTAGTTCACTTAACTAAAAGGTCAGAACTTTTGATGTCCCAATTACAAAGGAAATGCGTTATGCACATGCTCATCAGCACTTAATGGATGACTTCAGTTATAACGAAGTTCAGTTGTGTTAAAACTCCTGCTCAATGATCCCTCGTGAAAGCCCTTCTTGCTACTCACTCTATAATCGGACGTTACATTTATCCACTGAAAAGATTTGAAAGGTTTCTTAAAAGGAAAGGCCATTAGTTCAAATATGCCAGCTTTCGCCTGTCAAAGGGCACTTTGCAAATAAACGTTAACTTTAGAAAGCAGAGCTCTTTCATTTTCAGAAAAAAAGTGATGCTAATTGGACTTTGCATGTGTTTCCTTTTTTGAGATACAGACCACAGAATTTGTTTATGACTATCTTTAGTATGAACAGGAAGCTTAAGATGAAATGGAAGAGTTAAAATGTTATAAAACTCATGGGAAATACGTTCCCAGTGATCCAGTGGCTTTAAAAAGTTCAATTTTTAAACATGTGAATGATGCAGTGTAGGGTTCTTTCTTCAGTAACAGGGAGGGGCATTGCTGTGCCAACCATACATTCTGTGCCTGTGATCAGCTGCTTATTATTTGTCAGAAGAATAGCTGGGGTGGGACGAATGCTGCAATATTTGGCTGTGGAAAAAGGGTTTCTCTGTGAGAAAAATATTAGTTTGTATAAAGGTCAAACCTGAAACTGTAACTTCTCAGCAGCACCCTACACCTAATCTTAACACTAACTTAGGTAGAATAAGGTTTTATGAGTAGCCTTTTGAGGCAGATAAGTGTTCAAGGATATGTGTTCAAATATTATTATTTCCTCATAAGAGATATCAAATATTCTTCATCTTTCTTATTTCCATTAAGTCTCACATCTGCACCATGAATTGTCCTCTTCAGCCAGAACAGGCCAGTTTATGCTGCTGCAACAAAAAAAGGTCCCAAATCATCTTCTGCTGGTTTAGGGATTGCTGGTGGATGGTAAGAAAAACATTGCCTAAGGCAGGAATAGTGTTTCTCTTTC